CCGTTATCATTATCATCGGTGTCATTGTTCTTATTGTCACCGCGCACTACGTCAACGGTTTCAAGCGCGTCGCGGTGAGGACTTTTCCGTAAAATCGCGCGTTTCAGAAATTCATTTATGTCTCGCACTTCGTACGAACCTTCGGGAATTGTAATTTCCACGTCATCTTTGGCAAAATAAAATTTGTTGTTCGAATTATTCACGTTCGGTATCGTGTGATAAGTCTCAAAAATCACCAGACCGAGCTCGTAATCGTCGTCACTCAAATCTATGGCGGGAAAGTAGTTTGCCGTGAGGACGGTGCTCTTCCCGCTCAGCGTAAGCGTCAGCGACATGGCGGTGTTCGACTAATACTGAAATTTCACAGCGTCTCACCGAGCTTTTTAAATTCGCGCGCGTCTACCGTTTGTAGAAACCGGAGGCACATCTGTCCGCAGAAGTTCTGATCGTACGTCTGACAGGACGTACGATTGTACTCTATCGTCGTAGCACCGTTCCCGAAATATCGCACCAGTTCCTTGGGAGGTCGAAGATTACCGAAACTGTCAAAGTATACGACGCGGTTGTTCCTCTTCGCGTACGCTACCCAGTGAGTACCAGGCCCCGTCGCATCGTCCAGATTCACGATACCGCTTTCGTTTCGACGCGCACCGCTCGTCGGTAACGCGTTACGCATGAAAACGCCTCTAAAGTATGGTACGCGCATACGTCTCGCGAGCACGTTTAACTGTGCATTGGTAGTTGCGCCGGATGGCATTTTTATCGCTTCTTTGGGGTTTTTTTTTTTTTCTTTGCAGCTGCACCCTGTCCATGCTTGTACGGACCGAGATACAGTCCGCGTCCGTATTTGTACGGAGCGAGATACAGTCCGCGGCCCTGTTCCATCGCGCGATCGTGTCGTTGCAGCTCTTCGAGCCGACGTCGCGCGGCTTTGTTGTCGTTTACCGCTTTCGCCACGCTGGCCGCTCCGCCGATCAAGGATCCGAGCGCGCCCAACATTGGCAGAAACGGTAACGCACCGCCTCGTTTCGCCGTTGGAAGTATCCGCTTTTTCGTCGTTTTTTTCTTCGTCGTTGTCTTCTTCGGTTTCATGCCCATGCCGATCTTGGTCTTGGCTTTCATCGCTGCCCAAACGGCAGCAGCGGCGGCTCTCTCGCCCAGAGCCGAATCACTCGCGGTAATGCGTTTCCGCGCCTTCTCGGCTAGTATATCGTCCGCCGCGTGTCTATCGGTGAGATCGTTGCTGCGCGAGTACGCAATGTCGTGTTCCCGACACGCCGCGTCCAGCGGATTTATGCCCGCGTCACCTCTGGCTAATCGCTTCGCAAGTCGAGTGCCTGGGCCGCAAAACTGGTAGCCCGGAATATGTAACTCGAAAGGAAGCGCGTTTACCGCTCGATTCAACAGACCGCCGCGCGACGCTGACATTCGTTACAGTCCTTTATCTTAGGTGCGGGACCGTCGATGTGCGTTCGCTGCCACGGCTGATTGTAGTGCTCGTCGCACCGACGATAGGTTCGAACCTCCGAATCCGCCTTCACGTGTTCCGGAAGCCGGTCCCAGACGTGTTCGACGTAATCGCCGTACACGCGTAAGAGCACGACCTTCGGTATATATTGTAACTGCTCGGCGCTCAAGTTTCGAATATCGGAAGGATGACTCAGCGCGAGATACATTTTGCTACTGCGCGATTCGCGGGATTCGCGCGTCTTTAAATAGCCGTTCGAGAGCGCACAGCCCGTAGTGCGAGCATGAAATTCGTGCTGCAACCGTTGACGATACGCGTCACGAACTGCGACGCGAAATCGCGAATGATGGGAGATAGCGCGGAGAAGCGCAAGCACGGCGAAATGCTGCCGAGTACTATACGCGCGATCATTTGCGGCCCGTCGAATTGCGGTAAAACCAACGTTCTCGTAAGCTTACTCGAGAGCCCGAACGGCGTACGTTTCGAGAACGTGTACGTCTATTCGAAATCGTTGCAACAGCCAAAGTATCGATATCTCGAAAATTTGTTTACGTCTATCGACGAAATCGGCTACTTTACGTTCTCCAACAACAGCGACGTCGTTCCACCGAGTGAGGCGCGTCCAAATTCTATTTTTATCTTTGATGACGTGGCATGCGACAAGCAGGATGCGGTGAGAGAATACTTCTCGATGGGTCGCCACGCGAACGTTGACTGCTTCTATCTCTGTCAGACGTACGCGAGAATACCTAAACATCTGATACGCGACAACGCGAACCTTCTGATCCTATTCAAACAGGACGGTACCAACTTGAAACACGTTTACAACGATCATGTAAATACCGACATGTCGTACAACGAATTTTGCGAGTTGTGCCACGCCTGTTGGCGACAAAAGTATGGATTCGTAGTGGTAGACAAAGACAGTGCGCTCACAAATGGACGATACAGAAAAGGATTTAACGAGTTCGCGATACCGTAACGCGACCAGTCGTTGTCGATACTTAGCCTCGGACGAACATGGCGGATGTGCGCGAGCGTGAAAAAATCGCGAGAGCGATCGAGAAGACGAGCGAGTCGATCCGCAAGAAACATCGCGCTCTGAAGACCGGTAGAATCGAGGAGGACATCGCGTTGAACAGACGTTTTAGGCCTCTTATCAAGCCGCTGCGACTTTTCGCCGACAGCTCCGACGTGCGCGCGACAAAGAGAGAGTCGCGCGACGAAGATGCAGCGTCTGCCCATAAACGCGAGAGGAAGGAGGAAGAGGAACAAGAGGAGAGAGAAAAAGCGAGCGAGACGTTCGAGCGTTCCACGACTCTGCATAAATCCAATGATCGATCGCACGATGATGTACAGCCAATAGCCTCCACCCCGCGTGCCAAAATCGTACCAACGATAGAGTCGTTGGAGAACGTTTTCGAAACGACGGAAGATTCGCTAGCGACGAAGGTTCAAAATCAGCTGCAAACGTCGGAAGGTCGAGAGGCGTTACGAGCTGGTTTGGGCCCGCTGGGTCAAAAGTACGTCGAGGCCGTCCTGAGGGGAGCGAAAGATAAAGAGAGCGGTATAGATCGCGTGTACGGCGTTTACCTGCACGAGGATGGGCTGATGTTTGGCAATAAACGTTTCGACGTGGATGACGCGGACAACATAATTATCGACGGCGTACGATACGCCGGTACACCGGGTCTTTACGAGTTGATTTTCAAGAGAATTCCCGACGATGCCCTCTACACGGAAGACGATATGCACAAGTACAAGAGCATGCTGTTGGTGACGAACGCGCACAAACACAAGTATCATTCGCAGGGCCGATTATTGAGCAACAGAGGATACAAGTACAAACACGTAATCGCGCCGTTGATGTCGATCACACCCAAGAAACAGAAGAAATCTGGAAAGGGATTGCCTCACGCAATGACATTGAACGACAACGCGATCGATTACGTGCACTGGGATGATCCCAACGAGCTGGTGGATCGTCTACGATTGCTCGACGCTTCGCACCGAGCGGGCAACAACGCTCACGACAACGAGATGCTGTCGATCATCGAGGAACTTCGCGAAGCCGGTCTTATTATAAATTAATTCGCGTATTCGTAAAACGAGTCAGTCGAGGGACACCAGCGAGAAAAATACATTAATTTCTTGTACTCTGTGTATTACACGTCGAATCATGAAAAAGAAATCCGATGAAAAGAGAGAAAAAATTAGCTCGGAGAAACGTCGGCTCGTCGAGGAATTGCACGCTCCGGCGAGAAGAAATTTTCCGCGAAGGCGTGTCATAGTCCGGGGGTACGACGATCTGTGGCAGGCTGATATCGTTGAGATGCGTCCGTACTCGAGTTTCAACAGAGGCTACCACTACATACTCACCGTCATCGATGTGTTGAGCAAGTACGCGTGGGCCGTTCCGCTCAAGAGCAAGGGTGGAAGCGAGACGGCGAACGCTATCGCTGAGATCGTTCGAGAGAGCGAAAGATGTCCGAAAAATTTACAAACGGATATGGGGAAAGAATTTTACAACGCGGATGTACGGAATATCTTGAAAAAACACAACGTTAATCACTATTCCACGTATTCGACGTTGAAAGCGTCAGTGGTCGAGCGGTTCAATCGCACGCTCAAAAACGACATGTGGAAGATGTTTACACTCAACGGCAATTACAAGTGGGTCGACGAGCTGCCGCGTCTGGTGTCAGATTACAACGCGCGCAAGCATCGCACCATCGGCATGCGACCCTCTGACGTAACTTCTGCGATCGCCGAAAAACTCTTGGGCACGGTGTACAGTGCGATAAAGATAGCGGGTCCTGCAAAATTCAAAGTAGGCGATTCGGTACGCGTGAGCAAGTACAAGACGATTTTTGAGAAGGGTTACACACCAAATTGGACCACCGAAGTGTTTACGATCGTTAAGGTGCAGCGTACCAATCCCGTAACTTATCTACTCGAGGACTATCGTGGAAATTCCGTCGCTGGAGCGTTCTACGAGCACGAGTTGCATCGCGCTACTCGTCCGGACGTGTATCTCGTGGAGAAAGTGTTGCGCAGGAAGGGCGACAAAGCGTACGTCAAGTGGCTGGGATTCGATGGATCGCACAATTCATGGATACACAAAAACAATGTTATTTGATAAATTTTTTAATTCATATATTTTGTATACGTATAACAATATAAGAATATAAGAATATAAACGTGTAAAAATATTTCTTATTATCCATTCCATTTTTTAGAGTATACTGATATAAAATATGTATATAAATATATGATACATGTAATGAAAAAAACAGTAATACATAATAAATGATACTATATAAAACATAATAGTAATACTTATGTACAACGTAAAAACATAATGCGTAAATTATAATGATAATAGTAACAGGTATGTAGATTGTACGAGAATATTTAAAATAATGTAAAAAGATATACACAAAGTAAGATATAAGATAATACATATACGTCGTATGAAAATATAAAAAAGTAAAAAACATAATAGTAATATAAATGTTGATATGTACATATGTTACAAAGGTATCCGCCAATGTCCCCACGGTAACGTCTCCGTCGAATTCGGTACGACGTATCGTTTGTCATCGTATGGACTCAGAGCGATTTTCGATTCGGATATCGTGTATACCTCGTGCAGTTTAGATCGTATACACGATTGACGACGAGTCATTTCGATCTCTTCGTTCAAACATCGAGTGTAATCGTCGAACGTTATCGTTTGCGCTACGACGTTATTCTTTACGCCTTTCACCTTTTTAATGTCCTTCTTGCCGTCCACCCTCACAGCGTACATCTTCGCTCTGAGACCAACGAATTCGGTCATTATCGCACCGTTATTTTCGTCCTTCATCAGACCGGGTACTTTTTTGTTCGCGAGAGGCATACCGTACGCGTTGTCCGTCGGATAATCGCTCGTGTCGAATCTAGCGATATCGCGTTTCATAGTCTCGTAAACGTCCTCGCACTCGACGCGGTATATAAGGCTGTCCGTATCGGTGTACATTATTTTACATTTATCGTGAAACAGTGGTAACATATACTCGTGGTGAAATTCGTACAAGCAGACTTTCGATATGTCGAGTATACACATACCCACGTAAATCGGTTTGTCGAACTTCACCTCGAGTTTCCGCAGTTCGACGGCTATTAAATTTTCCGCAAAGACGCTACGGCTGTGGAAATTTGGTTTTGCAATCATTGCCTCCGCGCCGTACCGTCCATCCCATTTAGTTAATAATTTTACGTCGACGTGGTTGCGCACATTCTCCATAGTTTTACCGAATACCGCGTTGTTCATTAATTTATATAAATTTTTTTCGAAATCATTTTTCGCGCGCGTTCTAAAACATGTATTAAGTTCGATGTATTCGCGAAGCCATGGAGATTGCGCGAATTGTAACACCCGATGGATCTTTGTTACGCGAAGACCGTGACGAGTACATTGCTGCAGGTTGCGGTAGTGGATGACGTAACGCTGTTTATCGTACAGCGTCGCTAAAAGTTTATGTTCGCGCTTGCCGGGCGGCTTATCGCGCGTCGGACAGAACGGTAGGTCGGTGTGTCGGTCGTGTACATGCTGCGGATACTCGAGATCGACTTCGAGAATGTAACCGGTGGGCGAATCCGGAGCGATCGCGCTCGCGTCAAAGTTCGCAGCGTCTTCGACCCATTGAAATTTGGCGTATGGCAATGATTGACACATCGCCCATCCGTATAAATTGTTAACGTCGTAGTACATCAAGTACGACGACGGTTCCGACGGATCGTACGAACGCATGTACTTGTTATTAGCCTGCGCGTATCTGCCTGAACATTGACTGAGACCACCGCGTATACCGCGCTCGATGAACATGATCGTGTCAATATCAGTGAGCAACTCAAACTTTACACGCGTATGTTTCAACATCGCGTCCCACGTGAAACCAGGCAAGGTGTAATAATGCGCTGGATCGAGACCGTAACTCGCGACGCAACTTTCGCGGAAATTTTCAAAAATGTCGGCTAATAACAAGACATCGGTTTTCAAGTACAGATCGCTGTACTCGCCGAGCGTTCGGATGGAGAATCGCTGCCATACGTTCGCCGCGTGAGCGTAGTCGCTCTCGGATACGGTATCGCCCGTTAACGAACTGTAAAAAGATTCGCGCGGTGGTAAGAGCGTGTCCCGCAATTTTTCGACACAGTCAACGTACTCGTACGGAAAGACACCTTTACGAGTCAGTAATTCAAATTCTTCGTCCGATAATGTTGGAAATTTTGAACGTATAATTTTTAATTTGTCTCTATCGAGATACGACGCTAATTTATCGAGACTTGTACTGAGAAATTTGAAAGAATCAATAAATCTGAATTTTACGCAATTTCTTTGAGAGTTATTTTTAGTTTTATCTTTAGTGCTATCGACATGTTTCGTGAAGGAGATGTATTTTTCTTTGGTCATCGGTAATACATCTACTCGTCCTTCATATGCTGTAGCGATTTCCTTAATTATAAAATGCGCGTCGTAGCCCGATAAATTGTGGAAAACGATCGGAATATATAATGAATTTTTATTAAGTATATAATAATAATTAATTTTTATGAATTTAAGTTACAGTTTGAATGCGCAGGACCGCGGTATCTACCGGTTAAGTGGCAATGATCGCGTACCAGCGTGTCGTCCGACGCGAACAGTTTCTCGCAAATGTGACAACGCGTCGCGCTACGGTACGCCTCCCACTGTTCTTTCGACAACGTTTCCATAGGCACGTTGACGGATACGATATT